TCTGGAGGGCACAGTGGGATTCTGGAGGGAGCACAGGGGGAGCCTCACGTGGTGGTTGTCGGGCTCGGGCCCCTCGCTGTCCATCAGGATGAGGCGCTTCAGGTCGTCCTCGATGCTGGATTTGGTGGCGCGGCGGGGGGAGCGAAGGTCCCGCAGCGAGGCCCTGAGCCGGTGCTGCCCACACACGGTCACCTGCTGGGAGGGGGGAAAAGAGGATTGGGGGTGAGTCCAAATCCAGGGGGACCCCCCCAAATCCATAGTGGAACCCCTAAGGAACCCAATCAGAGGTGAAACCCAAAACCCCAGGAGTGAAGGTCCCGCAGCCGGGGCTGCCCAAACACCTTCACCTGCCTGGGAGGGGGGAAACAGGGACTGGGGGAGCCCAAATTCCAGGGGGGACACCCCAAATTCCATGGGAGACACCCCAAAATCCAGAGGGGAACCCCTAAGGAACCCCAAATCCAGAGGGGAACCCAAAAACCCCAGGAGTGAAGGTCCTGGAGCCGGGGCTGCCCAAACACCTTCACCTGCCTGGGAGGGGGGAAACAGGGACTGGGGGATCCCAAAATCCATGGGGGACACCCCAAATCCATGGGGGACACCCCAATTCCAGAGGGGAACCCCAAAATCCTACAGGGATCCCTCAAATCCCCAAAAACCCCAGGAGTGAAGGTCCCGGAGCCGGGGCTGCCCCAACACCTTCACCTGCCTGGGAGGGGGGAAACAGGGATTGGGGGATCCCAAAATCCAGGGGGGACACCCCAAAATCCAGAGGGGAACCCCTAAGGAACCCCAAATCCAGAGGGGAACCCAAAAACCCCAGGAGTGAAGGTCCCGCAGCAGGGCCCGGAGTCGGGCTGCCCAAACACCTTCCCCCGGGGAGGGGGAGACAGGGAGGTGGGGGGAGCCCAGGAGCCATGGGGGACACCCCAATTCCAGAGGGGAACCCAAAAACCCCAGGAGTGAAGGTCCCGCAGTGAGGCCCGGAGCTGGGGCTGCCCAAACACCTTCACCTGCCTGGCAAGGGGGAAACAGGGACTGGGGGAGCCCAAAATCCATGGGGGACACCCCAATTCCAGAGGGGAACCCCTAAGGAACCCCAATTCCATGGGGGACACCCCAAAATCCTACAGGGATCCCTCAAATCCCCAAAAACCCCAGGAGTGAAGGTCCCGCAGCCGGGGCTGCCCAAACACCTTCACCTGCCTGGGAGGGGGGAAACAGGGACTGGGGGAGCCCAAATTCCAGGGGGGACACCCCAAATTCCATGGGAGACACCCCAAAATCCAGAGGGGAACCCCTAAGGAACCCCAAATCCAGAGGGGAACCCAAAAACCCCAGGAGTGAAGGTCCTGGAGCCGGGGCTGCCCAAACACCTTCACCTGCCTGGGAGGGGGGAAACAGGGACTGGGGGATCCCAAAATCCATGGGGGACACCCCAAATCCATGGGGGACACCCCAATTCCAGAGGGGAACCCCAAAATCCTACAGGGATCCCTCAAATCCCCAAAAACCCCAGGAGTGAAGGTCCCGGAGCCGGGGCTGCCCCAACACCTTCACCTGCCTGGGAGGGGGGAAACAGGGATTGGGGGATCCCAAAATCCAGGGGGGACACCCCAAAATCCAGAGGGGAACCCCTAAGGAACCCCAAATACCGGGAGAGAGGGGGGAACCCAAAATCAGAGGGGAACCAAAAACCCCAGGAGGTGAAGGTACAGAGCCGGGCTGCCCCAAACACGTTCACCTGCCGGGAGGGGGAAACCAGGGATGGGGGATCCCAAAATCCCAGGGGGGACACCCCAAATCCATGGGGAACACCCCAATCCAGAGGGGAACCCCAAAATCCTACAGGGATCCCTCAAATCCCCAAAAACCCCGGGAGTGAAGGTCCCGGAGCCGGGGCTGCCCCAACACCTTCACCTGCCTGGGAGGGGGGAAACAGGGATTGGGGGATCCCAAAATCCAGGGGGGACACCCCAAAATCCAGAGGGGAACCCCTAAGGAACCCCAAATCCAGAGGGGAACCCAAAATCCAGAGGGGAACCCAAAAACCCCAGGAGTGAAGGTCCCGGAGCCGGGGCTGCCCAAACACGTTCACCTGCCTGGGAGGGGGGAAACAGGGAGTGGGGGATCCCAAAATCCAGGGGGGACACCCCAAATCCATGGGGGACACCCCAAATCCAGAGGGGAACCCCAAAATCCTACAGGGATCCCTCAAATCCCCAAAAACCCCGGGAGTGAAGGTCCCGGAGCCGGGGCTGCCCCAACACCTTCACCTGCCTGGGAAGGGGGAAACAGGGACTGGGGGATCCCAAAATCCATGGGGGACACCCCAAAATCCAGAGGGGAACCCCTAAGGAACCCCAAATCCAGAGGGGAACCCCCAATCCTGAGGGGAATCCCAAAAACCCCAGGAGTGAAGGTCCCGGAGCCGGGGCTGCCCAAAAACCTTCACCTGCCTGGGAGGGGGGAAACAGGGACTGGGGGATCCCAAAATCCATGGGGGACACCCCAAAATCCAGAGGGGAGCCCCCAATCCTGAGGGGAATCCCAAAAACCCCAGGAGTGAAGGTCCCGGAGCCGGGGCTGCCCAAACACCTTCACCTGCCTGGGAGGGGGGAAACAGGGACTGGGGGATCCCAAAATCCAGGGGGGACACCCCAAAATTCATGGGAGAACCCCAGAACCCAGAGGAGAATCCCAAAATCCTACAGGGATCCCTCAAACACCCTAAAATCTCCCTTTTTGGGGTCCTGCCCCCCTTTTTGGGGTCCTGTGCCCTTTGACCCCCTTTTTTAGGGTCCTGCCCCCCCTTTTTGGACTCCTGTGCCCTTTGACCCCTTTTTTTGGGTCCTGTCCCCCCTTTTCAGGACTCCTGACCCTTTAACCCCCTTTTTTAGGGTCCTGCCCCTCCTTTTTTAGGGTCCTACCCCCCCTTTTCAGGACTCCTGACCCTTTGACCCCCTTTTTTAGGGTCCTGCCCTCCTTTGTTCAGGTCCTGCCCCCCCTTTTTAGGTCCTGTGGCCCTTTGGGACCCCCGTGTGTAGGGTCCTAACCCACCTTTGTTAGGTCCTGCCCCCCCTTTTTAGGGTCTCCTGTGCCTTTGAACCCCGTATTTTTTTGGGTCCTGCCCTCCGTTTTGTAGGGTCCGGCCCCCCCTTTTGAGGGCTCCTGTGCCCGTGGACCCCCCTTTTTTAGGGTCCTGCCCCTCCTTTTTCAGGGTCCTGCCCCCCCTTTTTAGGGTCCTGTGCCCTTTGACCCCCTTTTTTAGGGTCCTACCCCCCTTTTTTAGGGTCCTGCCCCCCCTTTTTAGGGCTCCTGTGCCCTTTGACCCCCTTTTTTAGGGTCCTACCCCCCTTTTTTAGGGTCCTGCCCCCCCTGTTGAGGGCTCCTGTGCCCGGGTGGACCCCCTTTTAGGGTTCCTACCCCCCCGTTTTTAGGGTCCTCCCACCCTTTTTAGGGCTCCTGTGCCTTTGACCCCCTTTTTTAGGGTCTACCCCCATTGTTGTAGGGTCCTCACCCGCCGTTTTAGGGCTTCCTTGCCCTTTGACCCCATTTTTTAGGGCCCTAACCCCCCTTTTTTATTGTTCCTGCTGCCCCCCCCTTGTTCGGCGCCGGTGCCCGTTAACACCCCTTTGTTAGTCCTACCCCCCATTGTGTAGGGGCCTGGCCCCCCCTTTTTAGGGATCCTGTGGTCCCCTTTGGACCCCCTTGTTTTTAGGGTCATACCCCCTTTTTTAGGTCCTGCCCCCCTTTTAGGGCCCCTGTGCCTTTGAAACCCCTGGTTGAGGTATACCCCCCTTTTTTAGGGGCCGGCCCCCCTTTTTAAAGGGCTCCTGGTTGCCCGTTAATTAACCCCCGTTTTGTAGGGTCCGGCCCTCCTTTTTCAGGGTCCTGCCCCCCCTTTTTAGGGTCCTGTGCCCTTTGACCCCCTTTTTTAGGGTCCTACCCCCCTTTTTTAGGGTCCTGCCCCCCCTTTTCAGGACTCCTGACCCTTTAACCCTCTTTTTTAGGGTCCTGCCCCTCCTTTTTCAGGGTCCTGCCCCCCCTTTTTAGGGCTCCTGTGCCCTTTAACCCCCTTTTTTAGGGTCCTGCCCTTCACCCCCTTTTTTTAGGGTCCTTTTTCGGGCTCTTGTCCTCCCTTTTTGGGCTCCTGTGCCCTTTAACCCCCCCTTTTTTAGGGTCCTGCCCCCCCTTTTTGGACTCCTGTGCCCTTTGACCCCCTTTTGGGGGTCCTGCCCCCCGTTTTGGGGGTGCCCCACTCACTTTTTGGGCTCGGGGGGCTCCTGGGGCCGTTTCCACGCCGGGGTCGTGCCTTTGCCCCCCCCGGGGCTCCTGGAGAAGAAGGATTTGGGGCCGGAGGTGGAAATTTGGGGGGCGGCCGAGGGGGGGGGGGGCCGGGGGCTGGAGCTGCCGGAAAAGAGGGAATTTTTTCGGGAATTCCCGAAAAAAGGACACCTCCCCACCTCCCCAACCCCAAAGGGGAGGGGTGGGGGGGGATTTAGGAGGGGATTTGGGGGGTTTGGGGGGGATTTGGGGGGGTTTGAAGGGGGGATTTTAGTAGGGGATTGGGGGAATTAGGGAGGGAGTGGGGTGTTTGGGGAGATTTGGGGGGTTAAAGGGGGGATGTAGAGGGGATTAGTTGGGGGGTTTGGGGGAGATGTTGGGGGTAAAGGGGGATTTAGTAAAGAAAGAGGGGATTTGGGGTTGAAAAGGATTTGGGGGAATTTAGGAGGGGATTTGGGGGTTGAAAGGGGGGTTTTGGGGGAATTTAGGAGGGGATTTGGGGGGTTTGGGGGGTTGAAAGGGGGGATTTAGGAGGGAATTCGGGGGGTTAAAGGGGGGATTTAGAAGGGAATTCGGGGGGTTTGGGGAATTTGGGGGTTGAAAGGGGAGATTTAGGAGGGAATTTGGGGGGTTAAAGGGGGGATTTAGGAGGGAACTGGGGGTGTTTTGGGGAATTGGGGGGATTCAGGAGGGAATTGGGGGGATTCAGGAGGGAAGTGGGGGTGTTTTGGGGAATTTGGGGGGATTTAGGAGGAACGGGGGTATTTTCGGAGACTTTGGGGGTGTTTTGTGGGAATTTGGGGTGTTTGGGGGGATTTCGGAGGGATGGGGAGGAATTTAGGAGGGAACGGGGGGATCAAGAGGGACGTGGGGGTGTTTGGGGGCTTTTTTTTGGGGGGATTTTGTTTTGGGTAGGAGGGCCTTGGGGGGATTCAGGAGGGAACTGGGGGTAGTTTGGGGAATTTGGGGGAGTCGGAGGCGTGGGGGGTGTTTTTGGGAGTTTGTGTGTGTGGGGTGGGGGGCTTTAGGAGGGACTTGGGGGGGATTCAGGAGGGAAGTGGGGGTGTTTTGGGGAACTGGGGGGATTCAGGAGGGAACTGGGGGATTCAGGAGGGAAGTTGGGGGGTTTTGTGGGGAATTTGGGGGGCTTCAGAGGAAGTGGGGGTGGTTTTGGGAATGGGGATTCCGGAAGGGAAGTGGGGGTGTTTTGGGGAATGTGGGGGGATGTAGGCGGGCACGTGGGGGTGTTTTGGGGAATTTGGGGGGATTTAGGAGGGAAGTGGGGGTGTTTTGGGGAACTGGGGGGATTCAGGAGGGAACTGGGGGGATTCAGGAGGGAAGTGGGGGTGTTTTGGGGAATTTGGGGGGATTCAGGAGGGAAGTGGGGGGATTTAGGAGGGAATTTGGGGGTGTTTTGGGGAATTTGGGGTGTTTGGGGGGGATTTAGGAGGGAATTGGGGGGATTCAGGAGGGAAGTGGGGGTGTTTTGGGCAATTTGGGGGCTCAAAGTGGGGGGATCGGGACGGACACGAGGGGCCCGCCGCCCACCTGGGCTTGCAGGCGGGGTCCGGAGCGGCGCCGGCATTCCCGGTTTTCTGCCGGGAGCAGCTTTTCCCGGCGGGAGGAGGGGGCGGGGGGGACGGCTCCCGCTTGGAATCGGCCCCTCCGCTGGCGGATTTGGGAATCTTGTCCCGCGGAGGGGGGGGGGGGCCGGCGCGGGAGGGGGGTTTGGGGAGGGCGTCGATGCCGCTGTCGCTGGATCCTCCTCCCCTGGCGCCGGGATCGGGCTCGGGATCGAGCTCGGGGGGGTCGAACCAGCGCTCGTCGCTGTGGCCGCTGGAGGCGGTGCTGGACAGGGTGGTGGTGCTGGAATGGCTGGAATACGGCGGCTCTCCCGCCTGGAAAAGCCGCGGGAGGTTGGGATGAGCCCGGGAGCCATGCCGGAATTCCTGGGGGGGGGGGGGTCCTGGAATTCCTGGGGGGGTGTCCTGGAATTCCTGGGGGTGCTGAATTCCTGGGATTCTGGAATTCCTAGGGGATTCTGGGATTCCTGGGGGTCCTGGAATTCCTAGGGGATTATGGAATTCCTGTGGGGGTCCTGGAATTCCTGGGGGGTCCTGGAATTCCTGGGGGATTCTGGAATTCCTAGGGGATTCTGGAATTCCTGGGGGTCCTGGAATTACTAGGGGATTCTGGAATTCCTGTGGGGGTCCTGGAATTCCTGGGGGGTCCTGGAATTCCTGGGGGTCCTGGAATTCCTGGGGGTCCTGGAATTACTAGGGGATTCTGGAATTCCTGGGGGTCCTGGAATTCCTAGGGGATTCTGGAATTCCTGGGGGATTCTGGAATTCCTGGGGGTCCTGGAATTACTAGGGGATTCTGGAATTCCTGGGGGGTCCTGGAATTCCTGGGGGTCCTGGAATTCCTAGGGGATTCTGGAATTCCTGGGGGTCCTGGAATTACTAGGGGATTCTGGAATTCCTGTGGGGGTCCTGGAATTCCTGGGGGTCCTGGAATTCCTGGGGGATTCTGGAATTCCTAGGGGATTCTGGAATTCCTAGGGGATTCTGGAATTCCTGGGGGTCCTGGAATTACTAGGGGATTCTGGAATTCCTTCGGGTCCTGGAATTCCTGGGGGATTCTGGAATTCCTAGGGGATTCTGGAATTCCTGGGGGTCCTGGAATTCCTAGGGGATTCTGGAATTCCTGGGGGGTCCTGGAATTCCTGGGGGGTCCTGGAATTCCTTCGGGTCCTGGAATTCCTGGGGGGTCCTGGAATTACTAGGGGATTCTGGAATTCCTGGGGATCCTGGAATTACTAGGGGATTCTGGAATTCCTGTGGGGGTCCTGGAATTCCTGGGGGGTCCTGGAATTCCTGGGGGATTCTGGAATTCCTGGGGGTCCTGGAATTCCTGGGGGGTGATGGAATTCCTGGGGCTCCCAGGATCCCTGGTGCTTTTGGGAATCCTTTGGTGCTCCCGGGATCACCAGGGGGAGGCTCCCAGAATCCCTGGGGGTCCCAGAATCCCTGGGGGTCCCAGAATCCCTAGGGATCCTGGAATTCCTGAGGGTCCCAGGATTCCTGGGGGTCCCAAAATCCCTGGTGGTCCCAGAATCCCTAGGGATCCTGGAATTCCTGAGGGTCCCAGGATTCCTGGTGGTCCCAGAATCCCTGGGGCTCCCAAAATCCCTGGGGACCCTGGAATTCCTGGGGCTCCCAGGATCCCTGATGTTCCCCAGAATCCCTGGTGCTTTTGGGAATCCTTTGGTGCTCCCGGGATCACCAGGGGGAGGCTCCCAGAATCCCTGGGGCTCCCAAAATCCCTGGTGGTCCCAGAATCCCTAGGGATCCTGGAATTCCTGAGGGTCCCAGGATCCCTGGGGGTCCTAGGATCCCTGATGTTCCCCAAATTCCTGGTGGTCCTGGGATCCCTGGGGCTCCTGGAATTCCTGGGGGTCCCAGGATTCCTGGGGGTCCCAAAATCCCTGCTGGTCCCGGAATCCCTAGGGATCCTAGAATTCCTGAGGGTCCTGGAATTCCCGAGGGTCCCAGGATCCCTGGGGCTCCCAGGATTCCTGGGGCTCCCAGAATCCCTGCTGTTCCCAGGATCCCTGCTGTTCCCAGGATCCCTGCTGTTCCCAGAATCCCTGCTGTTCCCAGGATCTCTGATGTTCTCAGGACCCCTGGTGCTCCCAAAATCCCTGGGGCTCCCAGGATCCCTGGGGCTCCCAAAATCCCTGGGGCTCCTGGAATCTCTGGGATCTCTGGTGCTCCCCAAAATCCCTGCTGTTCCCAGGATCCCTGCTGTTCCCAGGATCCCTGCTGTTCCCAGGATCTCTGATGTTCTCAGGACCCCTGGGGCTCCCAAAATCCCTGGTGCTCCCAAAATCCCTGGTGCTCCCAGGATTCCTGGTGCTCCCAGGATTCCTGGGGCTCCCAAAATCCCTGGGGCTCCCAAAATCCCTGGGGCTCCCAGGATTCCTGGTGCTCCCAAAATCCCTGGGGCTCCTGGAATCTCTGGGATCTCTGGTGCTCCCCAAAATCCCTGCTGTTCCCAGGATCCCTGCTCTTCCCAGAATCCCTGCTGTTCCCAGAATCCCTGCTGTTCCCAGGATCCCTGCTGTTCCAGGATCCCTGCTGTTCCCAGGATCCCTGCTGTTCCCAGAATCCCTGCTGTTCCCAGGATCTCTGATGTTCTCAGGACCCCTGGTGCTCCCAAAATCCCTGGGGCTCCCAAAATCCCTGGGGCTCCTGGAATCCCTGGGATCTCTGGTGCTCCCAAAATCCCTGGGGCTCCTGGAATCTCTGGGATCTCTGGTGCTCCCCAAAATCCCTGCTGTTCCCGGATCCCTGCTGTTCCCAGAATCCCCGCTGTTCCCGGCTCACCTTGGAATGCCGGTTGGGGGAATCCTTCCCGCCGGGCTCCTGCCGGCCCGGCCGCTTCCCGCCGGGCAGCCGGGGCTGTGCCGGGACGTGCCAGAGGGGCTCTGGAATTCCGGAGGTGCCACGTCAGCGGGATAACCCCGGGATGCACGTGGGGGGGGGGCATCCCGGGCCATCCCGACATTCCATACCCGCCTTGTGGCGCTCCATGGTGCCCTCGTGGCTGCTGAGCCCGCCGGACGACGAGTCGTCGTGGCTCGAGTGGCCGGAGTGGCCGGAGGAGTGGCCGGAGTGGCCGGAGTGGCCGGGTGCCCCGTACCTACGCCGGGGAAACACGGGAATGGCGCCTCGCATCCCAAAAAATCCCGGCGTTCCCCCCCCCCCCCCCCCCCAGATCCACGGCTCTCACCTCTCCGGGGAGGGTTTTGTTACCTGTTCGCCGTTTTAGTGCCGCGCCTAGTCGCTCTTCCCCTGGCGCCGAGAATAGATTAGGGAAGAAGAATGCTTCCGTAAGGGTTTGCAGGTAGGGGCTTGTGTGCCGGGCTCGTGGCGTCTGCGCGGCTTGGCGGCTGGGTGGCTGGCGTGGGGGGTCTCCGGGAAGCTCAGAGGCCTGGGGGGGGGATGAAAACACAGGGATGTGCTGGGTGAGGGAAACACGGGGACGCGGTGGGTTCTCCATCCCCGGGTGCGGCACCGGTGCCACGGGCTGGGAACCGCGGCGGGGTCGGAGCCGGGGTTGGACTCGATGATCCCGGAGGTCCCTCCCGACCCGGCTGGTTCCGGGATTCTCCGAGGGAACTCCGGAGCTCTCCCGGTGCCGGCGCCGGCGCCCGCCCCTCTCACCTCTTGCCGTGGGCCGGCGGCGGCTCCCGGTGCGGCGCCGGCGGCGCTTTGGCGCGTTTGGGCGCGGCCGGGCCGCTCCACTGCCAGCCGGCGCTGCTCCGGAACGGCGGCCGGAACGCCGGGAAGGGCTCCGGCTCGGCTTTGGGCTCCACGGGGCACGAGCCCAGCGCCAGGGATTCCGACCAGCCCCTGCCCAGAGAGCGGGGAGTCACGGGCACGGCTGGCACCGGGATGGCACCAGCGGGACAGGGATGGCACCAAGGGCACAGGGATGGGACAGGGATGGCACAGGGATGGTACCAGTGGCACAGGGATGGCACCAAGGGCACAGGGATGGCACCAGTGGGACAGGGATGGCACCAAGGGCACAGGGATGGCACCAGTGGGACAGGGATGGCACAGGGATGGCACCAGCGGGACAGGGATGGCACAGGGATGGCACCAAGGGCACAGGGGTGGCACCAAGGGCACAGGGATGGCACAGGGATGGCACCAGTGGGACAGGGATGGCACCAAGGGCACAGGGATGGCACAGGGATGGCACCAGCGGGACAGGGATGGCACCAAGGGCAAAGGGATGGCACAGGGATGGCACCAGTGGCACAGGGATGGCACCAAGGGCACAGGGATGGTACCAAGGGCACAGGGATGGCACCAGTGGCACAGGGATGGTACCAAGGGCACAGGGATGGCACCAGTGGCACAGGGACGGCACAGGGATGGCACCAGTGGCACAGGGATGGTACCAAGGGCACAGGGGTGGCACCAGTGGCACAGGGTGGCATC